AGCCGGGCGCGGTGGCTCAAGCCTGTAATCCCAGCACTTTGGGAGGCCGAGGCGGGTGGATCACGAGGTCAAGAGATTGAGACCATCCTGGTCAACATGGTGAAACCCCGTCTCTACTAAAAATACAAAAAATTAGCTCGGCATGGTGGTGCGTGCCTGTAATCCCAGCTACTCAGGAGGCTGAGGCAGGAGAATTGCCTGAACCCAGGAGGCGGAGGTTGCGGTGAGCCGAGATCGCGCCATTGCACTCCAGCCTGGGTAACATGAGTGAAACTCCGTCTCAAAAAAAAAATAAAAATAAAAATAAATAAAAATAAATAAAATTAAAAAGCAGTAGCTTATTATTAAATCTGAGCTCCCCCCACCTCCCAACAAGATCATTACCAGGTTATTATTTTACTCAGTCCTCCTATGTTGAGAACTCAGCTTTAGAAGGAATCCCAAAAGGCAGAGTAAAAGGTAAGAAATATTCAGTTAATACTTGGTATGGAAATACAAATAATTCTAAAAATCCATACATCACTCAAGCAAAAATGCAGGATAGAAATACAACACCAAAGAAGGAAGTTTAAGAGAAAGATTTTACAGACTCAATCAAGTCAAGCTGTATCTTCAAATAAGGGGAAGAAACATGGTAGCAGTCATGCCAAGAAAACAAGTAAAAGTGATCATGAAGACTTGGTTTTCTGGCTTACCCTTCTCAAACAACGTCAAAGCTTCTAAAAAGAATTTTATTAGAGTCTGTTAATAGAGATTTTTAGGCTGGGCATGGTGGCTCATGCCTGTAATCCCAGCATTTTGGGAGGTCTAGGTGGGAGGATCACTTGAAGCCAGGAGTTTGAGATCAGTCTCTACAATTTTTTAAAAAGTTAGCTGGGTATGCTGGCACACACCTATAGTCCCAGCTACCCAGGAGGCCATGGCAGGAAGACTGCTTGAACCCTGGAGTTCAAGGTTGCAGTGACCTATGACGGCAACACTGTACCCCAGCCTGGGTGAGAGTGAGACTCTGTCTCTAAAATAAATAAATTTTTTTAAAAAGAGACCTAGAGTTGGAATTAGGAGAAACAAACTGGACTTCATTTAATACATGTCTAATGAATACCTGTAACCTGCCTATACTGTTCTAGGCTCTCATACAACGTGAACAAGAGACAGAAAAAACTGCTACCCTCACAAAGCTCTCTACTTAACCTTTCTGAGTTTTCATTTCATCTGTAAAATTAGGGCACTGAACTGCATGTTTTTCAGACTGTGCTTAAAAACAACTGACATTCTATTTTAATGACAACCACTGCTTTTTAACTGACATTCTATTTTAATGACAACCACTGCTTTTTTCTGATTTCTGTATCAGGGGTCTATACACAATGTCCTTTGGAAAAACAAATCTTTTTAAAAAAAACTTTTGCAGTTTGCTAACACTTGTAAAAGAAAAAATGGCCCTGCACAGTGGCTCATGCCTGTAATCCCAAGACTTTGGTAGGTCTTGGCAGGAGGATTGCTTGAGGCCAGGAGTTTGAGAGCAGCCTGGGCAACATGGTGAAACTCAGTATCTACAAAAATAAAAATAAAAATAATTAGCCAGATGCAAGCCTGTAGTCCTAGCTACTTGGGAAGCTGAGACAGGAGGATCACTTGAGCCCAAGAAGTTGAGGCTACATCTAGCTATGACTGTGCCACTGATTCCAGGCTGGGTGGCAGAGTGACACCCTGTCTCTAAAACAAACAAACACCCCAAAAACTTTTTTCACTCTACTTTCTTCTGCACAGACTACTTCTGTGACTAGATATGTGGGTTTTTATTTTTCCCCAGCAGACACCAATTGGGTGTCCTCCATTCCAATTCAATTCTGACACTACCTACCTCAAGTCAGACTCAGACTTCCCAGATGACGGGTTCAGTTCCATGAGACAGCTCACCATTTCAGATGTCTATCATAGGTATCATAAGCAGCAGGTTGCCATCTGTACTTCTGAGGAACCGGCTATAAACTGGAGTTTCTACTACTCTCTCCTTAGGTTCAATTACTTTGGTAAAAGGGCTCCCAGAACTCAGGAAAACTATTACATTTACTGTTTATTCTAAAGGATATTACAAAGGATACAGATGAACAGCTATATGAAAGTGATATACAAGGCAAAGGATGGGTGCAGGTGCCGCCACCCTCCCAGCATCTCCACATGTTCAGCAATCCAGAAGGTCACCAAATCTTACTGTTCCAGAGTTTTTATAAAGCTTCATCTCCAGCCTATCCACTCCCCTTCAAAGGGGTTTATGGGTGAGGACTGAAAGTCCCAACTCTCTAATCACTTGGTCTTTCTGATGACCAGCTCCAGCCTGAGACTGTCTAGGAAACCCATCCTGAGTCCATCTAATTAGCATAAACTCAAATGTGATCAAAAGGGGCTCCTTATGAGTAACAAGTGACACTTGAAATTGTAAGGGTTTTAAGAGCTGTTACAGGAACCCAGGACGAAGGCCAAATATATTTCACATTACACCACAACACTGAAGTAAGTGACCTCTACATATCATTCCAGTTTTACAATTCTGTCTGTTTTATGCTCATATTTCTGACCTATTTCTTTTCACCATGTCTGGAATTCCACAGAGATACATTAAAAGGCTAACTACTTTAGGTAGGGCTGAAAAATAAATGAGAAACCCAAACGACTGTTTACTAGATGCTTATACCATGTAGCAAACTTTTTTTTTAAGATTAGCAAACAAAATAAAAACAGATTTAATCTTATTGCTTCTCTACTTAAACTAATCCCTTCCAGAAAAACAAAAACAAAAAAAATCCCTCTGGAGGATGAGGTATGAGGATCACTGGGGCCCAGCAAACGTAGGGAGACCTTGTCTCTACCTGACCCTAGTTCTTATATTTTACCTTAACTTTCAAATTTCCTAGCATAATATTTAAGGCTTTTATGCAACCTGACCCCTTTTAATCTGTTCTTTTCAGTTTCGATGCCTTAGCTTCTCTTGCCACCCAGCACCCCTTGCACCTCCTGACTGCTTCCACTTTCCAAGCATGCCTTGCACTTTCGTATTTCCAAACTTTAGTTCACACTGTAACCTCTGCCTAGAGTCAACCTTTCCCTCCCACTTCAACATGTCAAGTCCCTCAAGGCCAGAATCAATTCAAACATTACCAAATACAGGGCAAGTTAGGAGAGAGGCAGGGACTCTGTCTCATCTGCTACCCCAACCTTGAGTCCCCAACTGGTAAGCAGGCAATAAATGTTGAAATGATTATTGCAACATTAAAGGAAATTCAAGCATTATAAACAGGAGAACCCAGGCATCATCTATATTTGGCATCAAAACATTGATTTGTTCCTACAGATTTTAACATCCTGATTATATTTGGCTGAGTACATATCCTGGGATTTTTGAGTGTTCACAAAATTTATAAGACTGAAATAAACATTTGCCACTTTCAAAACTGCATATTCAGAAAATCAAGAAATGACACAATCCTTGAAACACTGGTAAACATGGGTCTACAATGTTTTAAAAGACTTGGGCTCTTTCACTAAATTACTGTGTTCTAGTTCCTTCACAAAGCTATTTTAAAAACATACAAAAACAAGAACTTATATTAAGGTTACAAGGACAAAAACTGCTCACAAGTAATATTTTTACATTTGTTCAGAACAGGTGTACCACACCAATAACACTGGTCATATTCAAAAGCCATTATAGTAACAATGACTACTGAGAGAACAGCATGTATTATTGATAGGTAAAGCTGATCCAATATCACATTTGCTTATGAAAAAAAATCAACCTCTGATTCTCAGGACAAACGATAAACTTCATGTTTGAAAGCCATCAGTTGTAAAACTCAGATGTTGGTTAAACTAATTCATAAAGTCCAGTAGATGTTCATTAGCAAATTAGACAAAAACAGGTCAATCATTTGGAGAGTACTAATGTAGTTTCATTCTCGAACCAACACAGGACAGAGGTATTTTTCTAAATTCAATTACTTTCCAAAGTTCTCATGTGACATACTATCAAGTCTATAAGAAGAATTCCCCCACCCTTGGCCCCTACCTGCGAACATTCCAAATCTCAACATTAGGAAATGCATATCCTAGAGACGATCATTTTCCAGCCTGCTAAAGCCCACGACCTTAGAATCAAAGCGGCTTTCGCCCTGCATTTGGCTGCTGCCTGTATGAAGGCCTTGCCTCAAAGCAGGGCCAACGCCGGCACGTTTTTCCATCTCTGAAAGGGGAGCTAGGAAAAACACCCAGATCTAAAGATGTTCGTTTAAATCCGTTTACACCTGCTCCCTTTCAAACACTACAAGCAAACTCCAAACGCTCCAGCAGCAGCCACAGCGGCAATGACAGATCTCGAGGCCGAACTGGGTCAGGGTTACAGTTACACTTCTGTAGCATATTTACACCCTTTTGTCTACAAACTTGAGTGCAAACTTAAGTTTCCTCAAGGCAGCGTGCTCGCTGGGCCTCAGGAACCGAAGCAATTTTCCTGAGACAGGAAGGGCACAAGCCACCCTGCTGGATGGCTGCAGCAGCCTTCCCCAGACCACGCACTCTGCGGCCTCGGCCTCTGGCCCGCTCCCGCAGCCGAGGGGTCGCTCGGGGCAACTCGCCCGCGCCCAGGCTGGGTAACTGGGTTTTACTACCTGGACTCCCCCTTTTCGGTCTCCTCTAGTCGCTCCCAGCGGTTTCTGGCCTGGGGTCGCATTACATAAACAGCCCCGGCCCCAGCTTTCCCAGGCCGGCCCCCGCCCCCACGCCAGGGGCGCCCCTCCCCCTCCCCCCCGCGCGCCCCGCGCCCCGCGCCCCGCGCCGCGCCTTCCCTGCCCCCACCCGCGCCTAGCCTAGACCCCGCGGCCTCCGCTCCGCGCCCCTTTCCCTCCCCCGACGCCCTTCCTGGCCCGCCCCACCCCGATGTGGCCGTGCAGGCCGCTCAACCGGTGCTAGGCCCCGCTCTCCGCCCGGGCCGCCCGCCTCACCATTCTGCTGGTGCGGTGCGGAGCCCGGGCCCGCGGACGCGGCGGCTCCTGAGGCGGCGGCTCCGCCGAACTTGGGCGGGATCCGGGCGCTGGCGGCCGGGTGAGGGGACCCGGCGGGGGCCGACATGACGGCGCTGCTGGCGACGGCGGCTCAGCTTCGGGGAGGTGGGCGGAGGGAAGGGAAGGCGGGGCTGGAGAGGGGAGAGGAAGAGGAAGGAACGCGCCTGGCGTCACCAAGGGAGTCGCCGGGACCGCGGCTTAGGTGCCCACGCTCCGCCGCGACCCCAGAGCCGCCGCTCAGCCGCCGCGGCCGCGGCGATCCTGGGTCGCTCCGCCTTGCCCCACGCGCCCCACGCCGCGGTACTTCAACCTGGGGTCGTTCCCCGCACGCGCCGGCGCCGCCGCAGCGCCCCCTGCAGGCCAGAGCCAGGTGGCCCAGGCCAGAGGCGGGCCCGGGGTTCCGCGGCCACGGTGTCGGCCTCGCGACGGCTGCTCCAGCCCGGCCAGCTGCCTTCGTGTTGAGGCGAGAGGCCCGGGCTTCGGTGGGTGAAGGGACTGGGTGGCCCGTTCCCACTTCGGGCGGAGGCCCGATCGGCTGCGGCGAGGCTGGGCCCGGCATTACTGGGAGAGGAACTTGAGAGCCGCGCGGGGTGATGTCCGGAGCTCGGGCAACGCCAGATCCGACTGACCATGCACCCTTCCTGGAAGAGGAACAATGGCTTGGGTTTGGTTTTTAATTCTTGATTCTCCACCTCCCCTTTCTTAATTCCAAAGGAAATATAGCATTCAAGCTGCATGTCTGTTGGGAATATATAATTTCTTGGCAAAGAAAGAGGAAACATTTCTCTGATAAACACAAGAATCTTAATAAGAATTGAATTATTCAGAACTTTCCCCACTAAAGTATCTACTTTTTTTCCCCCTAGATTCCCTTTATTTTCCCCTAAAGTATCTAGGGAAGAGGAAGGGGAAAATAGGGTAAGAGAATGCTGGAGGACAAACTTTATCTTCTTTTTTTTGGCCAAGAGTGGGCGCATCCTGCTGGTGTTCGGGGAAGTTGTGGCTCAGCTTGCTTTGTCTGCATTAGTGGAATCTTTAAGTCTTTCTGATCTGTCTCACCATACTCACTGGCAAGCCCTAGACTACATTACCCAAGTCTTTTTGCCGTCTTGGAATCCTGAGTATGTCATCATTCTGTATTGGAGATGAGATTGCTCAGAAACACTGAATTCAGAATGGGATCTAGCAAGATGGTATTTCTGGAGCAATAAGAAGTCATTTGCTGAATGATTATGCAAAGCACAAATTGCATTCTAGTCCTGGAATAACAAAGCTTCTTTTTAGTTGTTGCCATAAATTAATAACTGGCATTTCAATACACTAAATGAACTACAAATAGGATTTTACTAGTTAGATTTATACATTTGACTTCTAGGAATTTCAACTACATTAGGATCCATATACACAAAACGGGCACCCTTTTCCACAGCGTTTCCAGCTTCTTCACAGAAGCTTAGCCCCACATGAACAAAAGATCACACTCTATGCTTCATCCAAGAGATTACACAAGTACAGATTCCAGCATCTCCCAGGAGTCCTTTGAATTTGGATTAAGGTCTATAATTATGTGGGTAAGGGAATAACTAGGTAATTGGCTTTCTGCCTCTGGAATGTATTCTTCTGGGTATAAGAGGCCCATTTTAATCAGAAGTATATGGGATGAAAGCGAACCCTGTCTCTTAAGGGGAGACTCCTTAAAAGGAGGATTGGGGCCTTGTGTTTTAATAGATCCTCTCTGCAATCTTTAACACCTAAGCTGCTTCCCCTTGTCCACTAATTTGCTGTAGAATTTTTCTAGCACCTTTATGATGGTGTTCAGGACACACTGCCCCAAAATATAACAACTTTGCATATTGAACATTTTAAGCTGATGGAATTTGAGAAATGGCAGGTGTGAAAGGGACTCTGATCTTCCCGTGAACCAGGTCATAAGACCCTCATGTGAGAGATTAAGGAAAGCAGCAATCTTACACCTATACCTAGAGGAAAGAAGCAATCTAATCTGTGAAGACAGAAAGATGCCAAGAGGAATCTATATGAATAGGCCTTGCTAGGTTTCCCCCAGTTTACTGCTGTTAGCTCATCTTTTTTGTCTTACCACATTTTTCCATGACAGTCTACTTTTCATCAAGCCTGGTATAAAACACCAGGTTTATTCAGGTCTTCATTTCCTTACGAAGGCTCCAGTGCCATGTAAAACTTACGTTAAATGTTACACGTTCATATGCCTTTCATTTGTTTCAGGGACCTCACATGCACAGGCCTTGTGCTGTCACCGCTGTGGTTCGCCTTCTAGAAGGGTAGAAGGAAAAGATATTTTTCCTCCTGTACATTTACAAGAATCTTTTACATGGCAAACCCTACAACCTTTATGAAAATATTTCACTCATTTGCTTTAATTTCCATTACTAAGTGAAAAAAAAAAAAAGGATAAAAGATTGAATGAATAGGATTGAACCATCTACTAGGCACTGTGCTTGTCACTTTAGATATATATATATTTTTTTTCTATTTAATCCTAACATTAACTCCATGGGATATTTTTCTTATCCCTATTTTATCTGTGAAGAAACTAATGCTTATAGAGCTCAAGTAATCTTGTACCTGGAATCATGTACCTGGAATTAGCAGAACCAGAGATCAAACTGAGGCTTATTTAGCTCTAGACCATTGCTTCACTACAAACTATTACTGGGTTAATTTACATTTTTCTTCCTAAAGCTATGCTAGTCATGATATACTACCTTGCTATCAAAGGATTTTCAGTTTTTTGTACTTAGAATTTGTTCCAGTATACTTTACAATGGTAGATCTCAGAGTTTTTGAAATGTAGATTCGTTGGCCCAAACCTTGGACCTACTGATTCAGAAGGCTTTCAGATAGGGCCCTACAGCAAGCTCTCTGGGCAATTCTGATGCCTGGGAAAGTTTGAGGACCGCAGCTTTTGAATAACAAAGTTAAGCTGAATTGGTTCATTCTCTTTTACTTTGGAAGTTGATGGTCCTTTCTTGCAGGACATCTTTTCAATCTTTTCCAGACCAATAAAAGTAGTCTTTTGTAGATTTTTGATTATAGTGTCACAAATGCCAATTGTGATGTTTCCTTTGTCAACTCAGATTGTTTGAGGGGTAGTGTTGATGCAGATGCTGAGGCCAAATCTACATTCAGGGGGAAAGTGGGTAATTGAATTAATCTCTGCTGCATGTATCAAAGCAAAATTTTTGATGACTGTCAAATTGTAACACTTGTGTTACTATTTATCATTCCCAACTTAGGACTCTATTCTCGGTAACAGAAGTGGGAGCCTTGGACAAAAGAACACATCTCTAGCTCAAGAAATGTCAGCTCTTTTTTTGTGTGTTTTGGAGAATGCCGCCCAGCCCAGTCTGGAGTGCAGTGGCGTGATCTCGGCTCACTGTAACCTTCCCCTCCTGGTTTCAAGCGATTCTCCTGCGTCAGCCTCCTGAGTAGCTGGGCTACAGGTGTGCATCATCACTCCCGGCTAATTTTTGTGTTTTTAGTAGGTAACGGGGTTTCACCATGTTGGCCAACGTGATCTTGAACTCCTGACCTCAGGTGATCTGCTTGCCTGAGCATCCCAAAGTGCTGGGGTTACAGATGTGAGCCACCACCCCTGGCCAAGAAATGTCAATTATTTATTGTAGCCTGGCTTTCCACACTCCTCCAGTAGCCTTTTTATTCTCTAGTTTTTAAATCGCATTTGAGCTTTGCAGATTACTCCCTTTCTTTTAGCGGCATTCTTTGTTAGGTGTCCCTCTCCTAATATGAAGAAACAATTTCTTCATTCTCCTCCTTTATCTGATCTATTTACAGATTTATTACCTTTGTAATAGGCCAGGTATTGGGTATACAAAAATGAATAAGATATAGTCTGTTCTCAAAGGTATGCAGAAACTTTTCTGTATATTCCTACTGACTTATATTTA